TAGGGCAGGCGGGGGGTTACAGCGCTGGGCAGGCGACTTGGTGCCGGATGCCCTCGTTGCACATGAGGGCGGCCGCCCGCTCGTCGCCATCGCTGTGCTGGCATTGCATGTAGCTGATGCCGTGGGGTGAGTAGCTGTGGTGGGCGCAGACGTTGCAGGTGCGGGTCATGGTGCCGCCTGTGCTGCTCCTGCAGGCAGAGGGGAGCCCCAGCGGCACCCGTCAGTGCTCGGCAGTGCCCGGTGGCACCCATCAGCACCCCTTGGTGCCCGGTGGCACCCCTTGGTGCCCACAGATGCTCAGTGGTGTCTGGCAGTGCCTAGTGGCACCTACTGGCACCCTGCTAGTTTCCATCAGTGTCAAACAGTGCCTGGTGCCCCTTATCAGCCCCCATCAGTGCCCATCGGTGCCTGGTGGCACCCGCCAGTGCTCACCAGGGTCTGCTGGCACCTGGCAGTTCCCAGCGGTGCCTATCAGCACCCATTGGTGCCTGTCAGTGCCCATCTGTCCCCATCATTATTAGGTGGTACCCATAGGTGATCCACAGTGGCTGTCAGTGCCTAGTGGCACCCAGCTGCGCATCCATCGGTCCCAGTGGTACCCTGTGGTGCCCATCGGTCCCCAGTAATGCCCGTCAGTGCCCAGTGGCACCCACTGGTGCCCGTTGGCCCTGTGCCCATCCCATGCCCCTGTGTCCCTCACCTGCAGTCACTGCAGGTCCGCTGGCACTCCTTCCGGCGGTAGCGGCAGATCAGCGCCCAGATGAGGAGCCCAAGCAGGCTGAGGAGCAGGAGAGAGCCCAGGATGGAGCCCACGATGATGCCCGCTTGCCTTCCTCCTGCCGCAGGAGCACAGCCTGTCACCGCCGGCCTCCCCGCCGGCTGCCCACTGGTCACCATGCCCCCGGTGGCATCCTGACATGCAGAGACAGCCCCTGGCAGCACCTTGCTCGTGCTGTCACCCCCGTGGTGGCACTTACTTGGTGTGGGGTTGAGGTTGATCTGGCACACGGAGTAGCCCACACGGTTGGTGACACGGCACTGGTAGACACCAGCGTGCACCTCCGACAGGCTACGGATTAACAGGTCGCCAGGAGCACGTCCTGCAGTGGGGAGAGACGGCCCCATCAGCCCCACCACCACACCCCTGCCAGCACCCACACTCTTGGACATGGGTGCACAGGGACATGGGTGCACAGGGACACAGGCACATACAGACATGGACACCCATGAACACAGGTGCACACAGACACCCACGTACCTGGGTGCACACAGCCATGGGCACACACCAACACGCACACTCACAGACAGGAACACCCCACCCCTGAGCATCCCCTGCACCCAGGTATCCCCTTCTCCCCGGATGGGCGCAGCCCTGCCAGCACCCACCTTGGATGGTGCCGGAGGGCAGGCGTCCCCCGCCGTAGCCATCAGCCAGCTTGGCCCACTGGTAGGCAAGCGGGGAGGTGCCTCCCCGGCTGTAGCACCGCAGCAGGATGCTGCTCCCCTCTATCAGCTCCCCCTCGGTCCAGCACTGCGGGGTGACTGGCTTCTCTGCGGGGAGAGGGACACTGTCACTGCCAGAGCAACCGGGGACCAGCTGGGGTGCCCAGGAAGGGGACATGGGAGGTTGGGGCTCACCTTGCACAGTGACAATGACCTCATGCACGGCCACAGTGTTTTTCTTCACCCGGCACTGGTAGGTGCCAGTGTCGGAGACTTGCAGGTCGGCCAGGCGGATGGAGGCGTCGTACTGGCTGGGGTCGTTCTGCACGAAGGCCACTCGGTCCTGCAGCCCTGAGCCACTGCCGTAGTTGACGTGGTGGTCATGGTAGGACAGGAACTGGGGGAATCAAGCAGGGAGATTGGGCCAGGGCTGGTCCAGGCGGGGGGACCTGGGGCTGCCAGCTGGGGAGGGGAATGCACTGCCCAGTGCCTGCCTGCCTCTGCCTGTCCTTGCCTGCCCTGCCTGTTCCTTCCCTGCCCTGCCAGACCCTGCATTGTCCTTCCCAGCCCAACATTCCCAGATCCTGCCTGGCTCTGCCTACCCTACCTGGACCTTCCCCTGCCCTGCCAGACCTTGCCTGTCCTGCCTGGCTCTGCCTGCTCATCTGGGCTCCATCTCATCCATCCCAGCCCTGCCTGCCCTGCCTGCCCTGCCTGCATGGTGGGATGGCAGCTGCCGGGACGAGTGACACTCACCACATTCTCTGGGCCAGTCCGCTCGGGCGTGATCTGGATCCACTCGATGCCCACGCCCTGGGGACCGTTGTCTTCGGGCTCAAGGACATAGGGGCAGCCCAGCTTCACCGAGTCACCTTTGGCCAGGTACAGCACCTCCCGGCCCTTGCTGTTGATCCTGACGGCCAGGAGGAGAGCTGGGGAGAGAATGTCATGCATCGTACCAGCTGGGGAGCACAGGAACACTCCAAACCTGTGCCCCAATGCACCCTGACCCCGATCCTGCAGCACTTGACGCGCAGAAAGCAGTGATGGGGAGGGACCCATATGCCAGGGTCAGGCACCCGCAGGGGCTGGGTGTCCCAGTGGGCTTGAGCACCCATCAGGGCTGGCACCTGCTGGGTCCCATGAAGCTGCATCAGGGACAAAGGGACATGGTGGGCTCAGTGCCACCTTCCCAGCTCTGGCCAGCACAGGTGGGTGCTGGGGCAGGACCAACCCCAGCTGCAGGTGCTCTGCTGACCATGGAGTGCATCCAGCACCCTGGGGTGCCCTGTGGCTGGGCAGAGACCCCCTCCATCCTTGGTGACATCACTGCAGGAGCAGGTCCAAGTGCAGGAAATCCATCAGTGCCTACCTGGCATGAGACCCAGGAGCAGGAGCAGGCTGGCGCCGTGCCCTGCCATGACGCTGCAGCCGTGCCGGGTGGTGAGGAGGAGCGGGAGCAGAGGAGGCTCTGAGGCGACAAGGCAGCCGGCTGTGCGGGGCTGCTTTTACATGCTGGGCCAGGGTGCTCCTCCCTGTGGGGCGGATGCCTTTGGGATGACTGAGTGGCTCCAAGCTGTGCGTGAGCGCTGCCGCCCTGCTCCACTCCCTACCTGGTAATTAAGCATCACCATGCTATGGGCCCCCATTCAGCCAGACCTGGGCCAGGGACCACTGCAGACAGTGCGGGCAGGGGCACCATCATGCCCCGGGGCATCCAGAGCAGCGGAGTGGGGATCAGGGGGACTGTGGACCCCATGGTGGCTGGTACCCTGGTGTGGGCACTGGCAGCATGAGTGTGGCTGGTGGGAAAAGGCTGCCTGGGACCCTGCGGGAGCAGCCCAAGCGTGACCAAGCACTGCAGCTGCATGGAAGTGCCAGCTTGGCCCCATGCAGGTCCCAAAACGATTTTGGTCTTGGGGCAGGACTCAGGGCAATTGGAAGAGCTTAAAGGTGTGGTTTGACCATGGGCTTAAGCTTCGGCAAATCCCTCCTCCGGTCCTGCCCCCTCAGTGAGCGGGTACGGGGATGCCACAGCTGTGTGAGGACCGTGGCACCCACCAAGCCCATGCTGGTGGCACTGCTGAAACACAGCGTGGAGGTCTGGCTGGTGCTCCAGGCCATGGCTCACTGTACGGGGACATGGTGGCATCGCAGCAGCCAGGGCAGCACACCCTGGGCCACGCTCAGCACAGCAGAGAGGATGTACAATGTGGTTGGAACAGCCAGAGCGGAGGAAGAGAGGGGCTGAAACTTGCTGGGATCTGAGGGTGGGAGCTGGGGGGGGGCAGAGAGATGCTCTGCAAAGCATGGAGGAGTTGAGGATGGGGATGCTCTGCAGAAGATTTGGGGACAGGGATGCTGGGCAGTGGGAGACAGAGGAGCAGGGATGTTTGACAGTGGGATGGAAGCTTTGGGGACAGGGATGCTCTACAGTAGATGGAAACAGGGATGCTGGGCAGCGGGACAGAGGAGCAGGGACAGGGATGCTTTGCAGCAGGTGTTGGGGGCCACGCCCCAGCCATGGACACTCTCTGTGCCTGCGTCCCTTGGAGGGGCTGAGCTGGCTGAGCCCCCACACTGGGCTGCTCTGGTGCTGTGGGCCGGGTCAGGCCCTCACCCATGCAGTGCCCCGCGGCACAGCTCGGCCATGCTGGTGCTTTCCAGACCACGACTGCCCCAGCCGGCTCAGC